CAAAGGTGGACGGGGGGGAGGGCTCGCGAAGAGAGAAATGAAGCGGAGAACCTTTAAGCGAGAACGATTCGCGGCTAAAAACTCCAAAGGATTCGATCATTTATCATGGCAGGCGCTGCCCGCGGGAATGGAAAGGGGAAAGGGATACAATCCGCCGGACAGACTAATCGCGGACTAACTATCCGCATATTATCCACAATAATTTCACGTTACTGGGAGGAAGGGTGGCTCAGCAACCCCCGCTTGTTCTTGCGTACCGGGGCTGACCGACGATGGAACGCTTCGTCACGTTTCGCTCTTTGACTCGAGCAATTTTTGTCACGCCCGGAGACGTGTCTTGACCTTACCGTATAAAAGATGGTAATAAAATGATAATAAAATGGAGAAGATTGCTTACTATCAGATAAGCAACATGTGTGCGTAATTATTCTCGCGTTATATCTTGAAAGATCATCTTTAAGCTTAAAACTTACGGAAATAAATACAAATAAATGACTTGCTCGTCAGAAATAATATATCTGAAATATATCTTTATTTACAAAATAAAGAGAGAAGAGAGGGATCAATGTGAAGATTAATGACATATTTTTCATCGATCGTAGCGGCCGATTTTTGTTGTATTAAGAATCGAGCTTTTTTTTACTTTGCGATCGATTTTGCTTGTTGCTTGTTGCTCGAAAATCAGCTCGAGAAGCGCACATTGACGTGCGCCGTAATTCGCGCGAAGAGTATTTTTGCACTCGCGGGGCACGCGCGCGCGGGGAGGGGGGAGCCATGCGCGTAAATATACTGAACGGTCGGCTACAATTTTGAGGTTTGTCGCGCGTAAATAAAGTGAGCTCGACCGTGGAAATTAATTAGTGTACCAAAGGGCAAAATATAGGGAAAATTGGGAACGCTCACTTTGCAATTTAATTGGGTATTCATTTAACCATGCCTATGCCGCGTATAAGATTTGCATAATAGCGGTCGGCACTAATTAGCACGTCGGCGATCAGATGTAAAGCAATTTATTAAATAACTATGTAATTCGCGGCACGAATTGCGGAATTATAAGTTTTTGTTTTCTCTTCCCTTTCCCTTCCCATGTGATTTTCGCATCGCGTAATTTATTCACGCAAATACGAACATTTAACAATTATCCCGAATTTTCGCCTATGAATTTGAGATTAGCGAAACTGTAACGAGGAAGTAAACAATACGGGCATTTCTGTTTTACGAATTTTCCGAATAAAGAGAATAATTTGTTAATGAAAGAATTAAAAATATGACACTATTTTTTTGATGGATAATCCTTTTTGAATGAGGATTCGTTTTATTCTTTGAAACGCGACTCATGACAAGAGCAAATGAGATATAAGAGAATTATCGCAAATCATAATTGTGAACGTAATAATTTAATATTATTAAAGCTTATTTTTTGCCGATAATTCCTGAGCTTCGAAATCGCGATAAGAGGCCGTCACGTCCATTTACGTGGTTATGTCGGACGACAATTGGGACATATGGAGGATCATTGAGGGAGTACGTGTTAGGGCACACATAAAACGCCTTTAAATTATAGAGTAGGCCAAGGCCCATCCATCACAACTGGGGCCATAGGACTTACGGTCCCAGTGCGCCGCCCCAACGTTTAGGTCGTTAGCAATTTCCTGCACGGGACTGTTTCCAAGCCCAAATTCCATATGGCCCGATAATGCCCGATAATACCGCCGATCAGAAGGCCGACGCGACGATCTCTAACTTTCTTCAACGATATGACGACGAAGAAATTTCGATGGCTCGAAGATGACGTCGGGCTAATTCATATACTCGATTTCTTCTCTCTCTTTCGTAATCGTTACTAACGTTATAAAAGTTAGTAATGCTAAGAAAAAACTTTTCTGAAAATATTATTTCTCTTTAATGTAATTTTAATGTGTAATTAATATACATTTAATTGTAATCGAAAAAATTAAATAAATCGAAAACTCTTCGTATATCTTACATTGAATGAATAAAATATCTAAAACATCTGGGTTAATTTTAAAATTCTCTTAAAAAAATGTTTTATAAATTTATTGAATATAAAAATGCAGTCTTTCAATTTTATCAACTTGTAATATTTTGTTGTTCGTGTACTTACATAAGATGGCAATAGCATACGGACCATGTTTCAACCATTTAACTCGTATGGTAACGTGTACTTAATATCAAATCCATGTTAAAAACATGCAGCTGTGGGTAAGCCTTTATGTTCAGCAGGTAAGTTTCAGTAAATTGAAGAAAGAAAGGCACATGACCGATTATAGATGACTAATGAAATATCAACAATTGATTAAATCTTTTTCTTGAAATTTTTGTTAAATACACAAATTAAAATTTTTAAATACATAAATTAAAAAATTTTAATAAGCAAATTTATAAAAGTGTATATTATTATATTTGAAATTTAAAAAATAAAGCTACTTATACTTAATATCAAGAATCAATCATCAAGAATATCAAAAATATCAAGAATTATTGTTTAGAAAGTGAATGAATTTTTGCAATGTTGTTACTACAATGTAATTTAAATTGTAATCAAAATGTTATGATAAAGTATCATTTTCTTATGTATTACTTTATATTTACTTTATACATATATTAGTTTCTTTCTTCAAGTTGATTTTTAATTTAAAGAATTAAATGGGATATTTTCAAAAGAAGTGAGAAACCTTATTCTAAAGGAATTAATACAACCAAAATTGAATGTATTGGAACTTTATTCTTGCAAATATAAAATAAGTGTTCTTTAATCCTACCTGTATATTAAATAATTCCCAGATTTATTTATCGCAGATATATTATAATCATAATTCTCGCTATTAAACTTATCTATTAATCGGAATACAAAAAAAAAACAATATTACTTTAATCTTAAGAGGTTCTATTCATTGTTTGACTATTTGTTTTGTTTAAACTTGTATTTAAAAAGAACTTTGATTGAAAATATTCAAATTCCAGTTTTTACAAAAATACAAGTAATATATCAGCTATTGAAATATCTATATACTAGAAATGCCCAAGTATTAAATCAGTCCATTCAACGCATCTATTTAATTATTATTTTTCTTTGCATTGTGCTGCAATTACATAACTCTAAATAAAAATTTAAAACATGTTCGATAACGTTAATTGTCGCAGATACTCAATGCAATAATAAAATCAATAAATTATATATATAATATTGTATTATTTTCATGATAAAATTAATAACGATGAAATTGATAAAACTATAGAGATTTAATGATTTTTTTGTATATTGCTGTATTTGTATATACGACACTTAACAATAATAATCGATAATAATCGATAATAATCAATCCTACGACATCCCACGATAAAACGCTTGACAATCGATGTCAAGTATTTATCAAAATAAAATATCTATCTGTAAAAATAAACTCTGCAATATTTCAAGCATTATCAAAAGATAATTCCTCTCTTCAAAAAGTTTCCTTTT